TCTATATAAAACACAAACACTGACACAATGATGGTGTCCAACATGCAGCACACAAATAGGACACTGTATTCCTGCCCCTGTGTGAGTGTGTGACAGGAACAATCTGCCACTGGGCTAAAACAAGCAAACACCTTCTGCTCTGGGTGTGATGTGTCCCATCTAAACACACGTGCCTCAGTTCACTGACAGAATGAAGTTGAGAGTCCCAGAGTGGCTCAAATACACAGATCTGATCAGAATATATAGTCACTGTTCCACTGTTCCACTATTCCCACACATAGTCATAGAGTGGAAAGAAGGGGGTCAGGGCATTTGCATGAATTACCGTATTGACCCGAACATAAGACAATGTTTTTTTCTTGGAAATTCATCTGAAAAAACGCAGTCGTCTTATATTCAGGGTCTAGATTTTGACATGTCAATAATACACCCACAACAATAGGTGGCGCCAAATACGCATTAAAACGAGTGTGCCATGAAATACGTAATGTAATGCGTGTTGTAAAGATCGCGAGAAAAAACTAAAGAAAAAGAAAACCTTACAGTTGCATGAGTTGTGACTGTCACGTTAGCCTGATGGGACCAAACTCCCTTTGTGATTTTAAATGTAAGACAGTACCCAGATTTGAAGACTAGCCTACAGTAAGATTTAACTTCTACTGTTAATAAGATTTTGGTAGGCTTACTATTAGTTGGATGTCTAGGACATTAGCCTAAATGTCCTAATTCAGATTCAAACATTTTTTTTAATTTTTTTTTATGGTATATTAAAAAGTGTATATTTTTTAAATGTGATTGTTGGTACATTTGACCAGTTTTTACCATACTTTCAAAACAAAAATTAAAATAGGAAAAATATGCAATATATGAAAATAATTGAAGACAAAATGTGTTTTACTGAGAAAAAACAAGATTTGGTTTTTAAAAAGCCTTTTTCCAAAAGGTACATCTGGAAAAAGGGGGGTCGTCTTATAATCAGGGTCGTCTTATTTTCGGGGCAATACGGTAATAGGTTTTTTGGTTGTATACACTTTTTAAAAAAAAATTGTGGATTAATCATGAGCTATAGGTAGGCCTGGGCGATAAAACGGTATCGATATTTATTGACGGTACACCTTCTTCGATAACGATATAAAAAATGTTCGATATAGTGCACGTAGGGCTGGACAATAATTCAATATCAATATGTATCACAATATTATTTTTTTCAATAATGGTGATATGATTTTTAAACACATTGCCGATATTTCGATATACATTACCAGTTTCCCATACATTTATTTATTTGTGCCGTTTGACTTCGTTGAATAAACATGAGCACTGCACGTTTCAAAATCATAACACGGCGCGGGTGTTTTATATGAATGTATCTCTGAAGGGATCCGACTGTCTTCAGAAAAGTTTCGATGGCATTTTCATTTGATCTGAAAAAGAAGTGTTCATGAGCGGAGCTGCTTCGATTACAGCCATTACTGGGGAAAGCGCTAGTTTTATCACTCTTTGTTTTTTAAAAAGCCTTTTTCCAAAAGGTACATCTGGAAAAAGGGGGGTCGTCTTATAATCAGGGTCGTCTTATTTTCGGGGCAATACGGTAATAGGTTTTTTGGTTGTATACACTTTTTTAAAAAAAATTGTGGATTAATCATGAGCTATAGGTAGGCCTGGGCGATAAAACGGTATCGATATTTATTGACGGTACACCTTCTTCGATAACGATATAAAAAATGTTCGATATAGTGCACGTAGGGCTGGACAATAATTCAATATCAATATGTATCACAATATTATTTTTTTCAATAATGGTGATATGATTTTTAAACACATTGCCGATATTTCGATATACATTACCAGTTTCCCATACATTTATTTATTTGTGCCGTTTGACTTCGTTGAATAAACATGAGCACTGCACGTTTCAAAATCATAACACGGCGCGGGTGTTTTATATGAATGTATCTCTGAAGGGATCCGACTGTCTTCAGAAAAGTTTCGATGGCATTTTCATTTGATCTGAAAAAGAAGTGTTCATGAGCGGAGCTGCTTCGATTACAGCCATTACTGGGGAAAGCGCTAGTTTTATCACTCTAAAAGCGCCTCCTGCTGGCAGAGATTGACTTTTCATTTTAAATAAGCCCATCTCCAGCAAGGTTATTTTCGTAAACGAAAACTAAAGCTAAGACGAAAACGAAAATAAAATTTAAAAAATCCAAATAAATTGATGTGTGTCGGTTTAGGGAGATACCGGGAAATACCCGTAAATGGCGTATCATGCACGTGAGGTTATCTGACGGAGAGACGCAAAGCAGTTGAAAGCAGAGTCCTGCACGGGTCCTGTTAGGTAAACCTGCATCCGCAGTACACAACAGAACACCCGACCCGTTATCCGACAGCAGCCAGCACCAATTTAATTCTGTACCCGACCCGTTTGACATAAAGACCGCGACCTGAACCGCACCCGCATTAAATAGGCTACTGCATCAGTAAGGCAAAATTATTCATTTTCTCATGTGACACAAGCAATCAAACAAAAATAGGCATTTTAAGTTGGTGCTTTAAATCTTCATAAATGAAAAGAACATATTTAGATATGACTTTACTGTTAAGTGCCATTGCTTCTCCTTAAACTCTGCAGGTTGCCTACATCTTGTGAACAACCTGCCAGGCTGTTTTGAACAAATGTGCATAAACTACATACTTAAATCTTCATAAATGAAAAGAACATATTTAGATATGACTTTACTGTTAAGTGCCATTGCTTCTCCTTAAACTCTGCAGTGTATAGGCTATGCGGCCGTTAGTCCTTTACAGAAGCATTAAAAATAAATCTTAAAAATAAAATGATATAGGCTACAGAAAGCGAGCAA